CGGCAGGCGGACTCTCAAGCACTGCGCCACCAGGGAAGCCCCCATTGGCTTTAACATAGTCGACCACTCCTTGAAATTTGTTTCTCACGCGGCTTCTGTGACACTTTTTCTTGTTTATCCTCCTACTTCTGTGATGATCGCCTTTTTCTTTCATGGTTTCCTTCCATCCCATCACTCCCTAAGAATTTCCTAAGGCTTGAGTCTTGGTCCCTGAGCTGATCATTCTTTAAACTTTTTACTTTAGTGAATTGCCTTGGCTTCAAATTTCTCTTTGTCTAAATTTTATTTATATCTTTATCTCCAATCAGTTCTGCTCAAGTGCTATAAAGGTGCCTCCATTTGGCTGTCCTGCCAGAGCCTCCCTCTCACTGCATCACCGCAAAAACAGCTATTTCTGTCACTGGCCTCATCATTTCTTCCTTTCACTCAGGCTTCAGACCTGAACACTTTTATTTTATTGTGGTAGGAACACTTAACATGAGATCTACCTCTTAAGTTTTAAAGTATTCAATACAATACAAAAAACACAAAATTTTAAGTGTGCAATAGAGGTACAGTGTTGTACAGCAGGCCTCTAGAACTTATTCATCTTGCTTAACTGAACTTTAAGCCCATTGATTAGTAACTCCCCATTTCCCCCTCCCCGCAGCTCTTAGCAACCACTATTTATTCCACTCTGTGACTCTATAAATTTGACTAATTTAGATACCTCGTATGAGTGGAATCATGCAGTAGTTGTCTTTCTGTGACTTGGGTATTACACTTAGCATAATGTCTTTAAGGTTCATCTATGTTATCGCTTATAGCAGAATTTCCTTCTTTGGAATGGCTGAATAATATTCTATTGTATGCATATACTACTTTTTAAACTCATCATTTGATAGACATTTAGGTTGCTTCCTTATCCTGGCTATTGTAAATAGTGCTGCAATGAACATGGGAGTGCCAACATCTCTTTGAGATCCTGATTTCAATTCTGTTGGATAAATTCCCAGAAATAGGATTGTTGGATCGTATGATAGTTCTATTTTTAGTTTTTTGAGGAAACTTCATACTGTTTTCCATAGTGGCTGCAACATTTTGCATTCCAACCAACAGTGTACAAGGGTTCCAATTTCTCCACGTCCTCGCCAACACTTGTTGTCTTTTTTTTTTTTAATAATAGCCATCCTGATAGGTGTGAAGTGATATCTCATTGTGGTTTTGATTTGTATTTCCCTGATGATTAGTGACATTGAACGTTTTTTCATGTATTTTTTGGCCATTTGTATGTCTTCTTTGGAGAAAAATCTATTCAACTCCTTAGCCAATTTTAAAACTATGTTATTAGGTTTTTGTTTTTGCTTGTAGACCTTGAGCATTTAAAAAATTTTTTTATTGGAGTATAGTTGATTTACAGTGTTGTGTTAGTTTCAGGTGCACAGCAACGTGAATCAGTTATACATATACACATATCTACTCTTTTTTAGATTCTTTTCCCATATAGGTCATTACAGAGTATTGAGTAGAGTTCCCTGTGCTATACAGTAGGTCCTTATTAGTTACCTATTTTATATATAGTTAGTAGTGAGCATTATTAATATTTCCTCTTACACACATTCCTCTACAGCCCTTCCCTTTTAAAAAGTCCGTCACCACATCCTACTGATCCTTCCTTCAAAGACATTTCTCCCACCCATCCTTTATGCTTTGTATCCAGTGCCACTTTCATGTTCAGGCTTTCATTATTCACACCTGGATCATCTTCAGAAACCTGTTTATTGATCTCCCTGATTTTAGTTTTTTAAAATCTTCAGTGCATCCTGCACAACCAGCCAGGATGATTTTCCTAAAACATCATTGTTCCTTCATTGTCTACCAATTATCCAAAAATTGTCCAACCTTCCTGAATTGGTGTCCAAACCCCACTCTACCTAACAACTCTATCTCACCTGATCTCAAACGGGAATCTTTCCCCTCCAAAAGGTGAGGTTCCTTCTGCTCTTTAAAAGCCCAATTTCATTTTTGACTTTGTATCTTCACTCAGGGTGCTTCACCTATCAGAATACCCTTCAGGCTTCTTTTCACACACCTAAATCTTACCATACTTTGGGTTCTCAAACTTTAGTGTGCATAAGAATTACTTGGGGATGCTTGTTAAATATGAACATTCTGACTCTGCAGGGCTGTGGTAGGACCCAGGGGAATCTGCCTTTTTGTCAAGTACTAAGGTGATACCCAGACCAGATTCCACTTTGAGAAATGCTGCTTTAAAGCCTGACTTATGCATCAACCGATTTAGGAATATTTTCCTTATTATTGCAGCTCTTATTCATCACCTGGAGCATTTACAATCAGTTTGATCTGTGTTCCTTTAACTGTGTGACCAATTTAAAATTATTGAACTTATATGCAAACAGTACATTGCAAAGTAAACAAGCATTTCAAATACAAAATTTTGGCTTTGGCCCTGGTTGTCTGTAAGAGGAACTACTTTAAGTTTGCCAGATCAGAAGTGTGAAGAGTGAGGATTTAAGAGGGAAGATTAGCAAGTTCCTGGTATCCCCCCAAGTCACAGAGTTTCTATAAAAGAAGTGACAATTCCTTTGGTGGGGGTAGGGGTATTGTATTTCTTCGATAGTAAGCTGCAGTCTCCCAGATAGACAGTCATAAATAAGAGAGAGGGAAAGCACGTTCAGAGTGCCAACAACAGATTTACATGTACATATTTGGAACACAGCTTTTTGGAAGCTGGGGAAGTGGTCAGCCTTGCTGTGTTACTATCACACTTCCAATTGGTGCCTGCCTCTCTCCTTTTTACTTCCCACTTTTTTTTTTTTTAAATTTCAAACCCATAGAAATGTTAAAAGAAGAGTATAATGTATATCAGTATGTCCTAAAGCTGGATTTTCAATTACTGACATTTTGACTCATCTGCTTTGTCTCTTTGTGTATACATATCATACCTTTTGAAAGTAAGTAGCACACACTTCATCCCTAAATACTTTAGTACATAGGCCCTAATAATTAAATTCTCTTATAAAACCAAAATACTGTATAGGGAAGAACAAATCTGACTCCATATTAGATCTGTTTCTTTTACTTTAACCTTTGTATTCTGTTACTTTTGCTGTAAGTTAAGAATGTTGCCTATAACCTGAAATATACAGGATAGTGCATTCTCAAGGCTCAGACCTTTATTTATTTATTTTAAAAATAAATTTATTTATTTATTTTTGGCTGCATTGGGTCTTCGTTGCTGCGTGTGGGCTTTCTCTAGTTGTGGCTCGCGGGGGCTACTCTTCGTTGTGGTGCGTGGGCTTCTCA